GGAAGAATGGTCAAAAATTCCTATAAACACACTCCTCAACCTTGTGGACAGCCTTCCCAGAAGAGTTGAAGCTGTAATAGCTGCAAAAGGTGGACCGACATCATATTGAACCCTATGGGTTAGGAATGGGATGGCACTTAAGTTCATATGTGAGTCAAGGCAGGTGACCGAATACTTTTGGTAATATAGTGTATGTACACACACACAACTGAGCATCCTCCATCCTCTCTGCAAGTATTTGCACATGTTTATGCTGCTGCTACTCTTATGTTTACACTATTTCAGCTACTTATATTGTACTAGGTCACTTTTAAAGAGAACTGCGCACTTGTTGGCGCTGTAGTCATTGTACTGTGTTGTTCTGTCTTGTGTTGTGATAGCTCAGTGGTTAAGATGTCCGACTACTGATCGGAAGGTCATGAGTTCAATTCCCGGCACTGCCAAGCTGCCGCTGTGCTCTTGAATAAGGCCCTCAACTGCTCAGTTGTATAAATGAGGTAATTGTAAGTTGCTCTGGGTAAGGGTGTCTGCTAAATGCTGTCTGCACTTGTGCACTATATGTATAAATTCTGTAGTTCTGTGTCGTCTTGTGTAGCACCTTGGTCCTGGAGAAACATTGTTTCATTTCACTATGTACTTGTATATGGCTGAAATGACAATAAACTCCACTTGAACTTGAAGTTGTCCTCATCTGAAATGAAAGATGCTCCTGAGTCCTGGTACATATCCCACCACATTGTGTGTCACAATGGTAAAGACTACATTGTGTTTGATTGTTCCTTCTCCTACCAAAATCAGTGTCTGAACTCACAGTTTCTTCCTGGACCAATCCTTGGTCCTTCCCTCCTAGGGTTCTGCTCCATTTTAGGCAGCACAAGACTGCAATCATTAAATCAATGTTTCACCAGGTGCGCCTGTTACCCCAGGATAAACACCTCCTGCGATTCCTCTGGCGTGACCTGGACTGCGAAGCTCCTCCAACAGTGTATGAATGGCAAGTTCTCCCATTTGGCACGACCTCAAGCCCTTGCTGTGCCATTTACATCCTCCAGAGGATCATCAAAGATGCACTGGCAGATGAGTGCATTAACTATTCCATACACAATTGCTTCTATGTGGATAACTGCTTACAAAGTCTCACCACACCAGAGGAAGCCAGAGACCTCCTTCATAGCCTGCGTACTACCCTCTGTTCTGTTGGCATTGAAATCAGACAGTGGGCCAGTAATGATCCTCAAGTCATCCTACCTCCTGAAGCCAGGTCAGAAGAAAAAACAGCTCTGGTTGTCACACCATCTTTCCCTTGATCCCTTAGAGTCTACCCTAGGCCTCCTCTGGAACTGCCATTCAGATGCACTCAGATACAGGCACAGAGCAATTGAACCTACAGTGAGTTAGCAGGTGACATCACCACAGTGACATCACCAAGAACAGGATATCCCTCCGAAATGTATAAAAAGACAAGAAAACTTACAGTGGAGGCTGCCAAGAGACCTACGGCAATATTAAAGGAGCTGCAGGAATATTTGACAAGAACTGAGGCTTTTATCAAGGTGGAGGAAATCATGAATAGCTACAAATACCAGTTGATTTTAATACGATTTAGAAGTACATATTCCCTTTTAAAGTGCATGTACAGTTTTTTTAATACTGGGGTTTATTGTGCATAAACAAATATTTTTAATTCTACACATTATTCTTGTTGAAACTAAATAAATATAAATAATGATAATTTACAGTCCACGTTGTGACTGCAGAATTTAATAAGATCAATAAAGGGGGGGGGGGGGGGGGCTAATTAATATTCATGATGGAAGCGCTACCTGATTGCCCAGTGATACTTTTCTGTTACTTTCGTTGTGAGTTTTTTGTCTGTTTGTTTAGTTTTTGTTCACAAACGTTAGCACATGGAAATAGATAAAGGCAGTAAATTATGCTATTTGCCTCGGTGTCCGGAGCCATTGTTGTTAACACCGTAGCGCAGCATTTAAACGTCAGAGCCGGAACGTTTCACCGGCCAATCAGGTAGCTTCCTTCATGAATATTAATAACTGTTCTCATGCCATCGTACGTTTAAATTTAGCAGCACATAGATGTCGGTCACAAACACACAAAATGATGCAAAATTTAAAATATTGATTTAGACATTTGTTTTATATATGTATTAGATTTAGAACCGATCTTTTTACTTAGAAGTGTTATTTAAAATGTATTTGTCAGCCATTAGACTCGTCTCCATAGTAACTCCATAAAACCCACTGAGCACAACCGTACGTCGCGTACAGCGTTCATGCTAAAGGCTCGCGCGCCGCTCAGACGGTCAAATCTACGTAAAGAGGAAGCGCTCTGGCTCTTTCCAAAATGGCGGCCACCATAGAGAACAGCAGTGCTGGAGCTGCGAATAAGAAAAAACATTTAGGAATTCCTGAAGCAGTGTTTGTAGTGAGTAATCACCGGTCAGAATAATGTAAATGAAGTGTGGAATAAACATGGGCTCTTTTGTAAGCGTTTTAACGTCTTTAGAGTGGAGACCGTGGAGATTAGCCGTTAGCGTAGCCCGCTGTGCTAACACGGTCCAGGAGCTGAAGTTCCTCCGTGTCCTTTTAAGGCTGTGGTCCATGCTGGCTAACAGGCTAAAGCTAACTCACGCCTTTATTATAAACTATAGGCTTGGTCTTGCGGATATTTTTCGGTTTGTGGTCGCTTCTGAAACCTCAGCCCAACTTTCAGTGAGATAATTAGTTATGACTGTTAAACTGTTTTCTGGATTATTCTTCTTTAGTCTGTTACTGATCTGCAGATCTGATCAGTGATGAAATGTGATTTGATGAGAGCATGCACATGATAAAGAGGTGAAAAGGTGAAATACTGAATTTCAGACAGAATGGGATGAAAATGAAATGGAGGTGTGAATGTGTGTAAATTTTACATGCACAGCAGTATGATGCTCTTGTGTGGAGAAAATTAAGAGAAGTGCTCTGTATTCTCTTTTATCCTCATCAGATCAGGGTCTAAGAATACTATCCAGCTAAAACCCTGTTAGAGAGGAGTTAGTACAGCAAGAAAACAACACACGAGTGAAGGGATTTCTGTAAATAATCTAAATTAGTGTTCATTTATTTGCTTGGTGAAGATTCAGGTCTTCAGTCTTAGTTTGCAGATCCCGACAGCCAGAAGACATTCATTCCAGGAAAGAGTGCCAGAACAGACAACACGTCATGATGCATGTCCTTCTTGTATTTATTCATTTGACCGATGTCTTCTTTTTATCCAAAGCGACGTAGAAATGGGCTGAGCAGCTCAGGTTAAGAGCCTCGCTCGGGGATCCGACAGTGGCAGCTTGACAGTACCCGGGGATTCAATCTCACAACCTTCTGATCAGTAGTCCAGAGCTTTAATCGCCCAGTCACCACTGCCACACAGTGTAGCTTCCTTCTATACATGTCGGAGGATAGTAGGTCAACTCGAGCCGTACTAGAGGCTTAAGGGAGTGTGTTGTGTGATACTTATTGTAATGTGATAAATATGACCAAAAATGTGTTTTTACCTTTTCCTTGAACACACTTTAGTTGTTTAGTTTTTTTTTTTTTTTTATTGCAATGGGCTGTGTCCCAAACTGCATACTACTGTATGTCAATATAGAAGTGGTGTACTCATTAGACGCATTATTTATGTTGTTTGTAGGAGGATGTGGATTCGTTTATGAAGCAGCCCGGCAATGACACGGCAGATGTCGTGCTGAGGAAGCTTGATGAACAGTACCAGAAATATAAATACATGGAAGTCAACCTGGTTCAGAAAAAAATGAGGTTTGGAGAATTTTAATCCTTTCTTGTGAAATGTTGTTCAATGGTGGAAGAGTAACTTCGTTATAGCAGTGAAAATTGCATAAAATTTACATAAACTCAACAAACTGGTGTCGGCTCAGCTGCCATCACTAAGGCTAGCTTGGCCGCCTGCTATTGGTGGATTGGATTGGTTAGTGTATTTACAAAACGTTAATATTCTTTCCAATATTGTAACGATGAGGTTTCTTAGCTATTTTTAGTTCTGATCTAGTTAATGTTTACGTAAACTAAGGCTTTGTATCCCATAGAATAAGCTGATACTGCTTTCATGAGTTAAAAGGGTGTTTTCAAATGTTGAACCATGAAATTGGAAGTCAAATCAAACTACAGACCATTCATCATTTCTGCAGTCAGTAAGTCTAGATTGGTTGTATGTCACTGTAAGATCTATGAAGAAGATTCTTTGCCAGATATAAAAGCAGTCACACCGGGGAAAAACCCATGAAATGCAATACACAGACAGAATTGCTTTACAGACGTGACATTAGGACAGCGTGCCACACTAAAATACAAGACCTGCATTTCATTGCTCTAAATGCTTTCTCTCTTTAATGAAAAATGGTGTTGCTTTTTAAAAAAAAAAAAAAAAAATTACTGCTCACTTCACATCAGAAGTTAGCATAGTTTTCTGTTGTATTGCATTCCTCTGCTATCACTGCATTGCAGTAGTGCCACACTGAAATGCATCCACTGTCTAATCACAGCACTAAGCTGCACTCAGGGGTGTGGTTGTAATCAGAGAAGGGCCTGAAAGTGTTACTTTCCAGGAGATGTTGCAGTCCATATGAAGAAACATCCTTTATAGTTTCTTGTTGGCAAAATTCATATTCCTGATTTTTTAAAATTTATTATTATTATTTTTTTTTTTTATAAAAACCCGTGGAAGATGTAATGCTTATATTGAAATGTGAAACAGTGCCACCATGTGTGAGAGTGAGTATGACTGCTATATACATTTTTTTTTTTTTGTCTGAATGTTTGTTTTTGCTCATTCAGGTTGAAAAACCAGATTCCACAAATCAAGCAGACATTAGAAATCTTACGGCACATGCAGAAGAAAAAGGTAAATTCAACATTCAGATTCAGTCTCCTAGATGACTTGATTTATCATTCTGTCTCCATGTTTATCTCTAGTCATAGCTTCCTGACTCTGCACTGTCCTTTGTGTGTTTATTCATATATTCTGTAAAATGTCATTGTCTCGATACAGGACACTACAGATCCGATGGAGACACATTTCCTATTGGCTGATAATGTGTACTGCAAGGCCTCCGTCCCGCCCACGGATAAAGTGTGTTTGTGGCTTGGGGTAAGTCCTCGGACACACACTTCTGCAGGCCCATTCCACCTTACACACCAGGTTTTTCTGATGAAGTTTTGAACAGAAGATCCAGAATAGTGTCCTTTGTTTTCTGATGAAGTCATCAATTCTCAAACCATTCACAACTTGATATATTGAGAGAGGAAAAACAGAATAGGTGATATATGGTCATGGCTGTGTAACAGTCTGCTATTTTATACAGCTTTTTAGTCCCTCAACTGATAGCACAAAAGGTGAGGACGGATGATTGGAGAAATGTAGAAAAAGAGCATT